TGTGTGTGTGTGTGTGTGTGTGTGTGTGTGTGTGTGTGTGTGTGTGTGTGTGTGTGTGCCGCACACACACTCTTAACAAGCAAAGCCTCTGTAATGGGAGCAAAGTCTCTGCTGCTTCAATACCGAAGGATTGATGTTGGCAGTGCCGTGGTAATTTAGGAAATACTAAATAGCGAAATCGGTCGGTTACTGATATGCACGTACCTGAATGTTTGATAAGTCTGAAGTGTGTATTGCAGAGCAAGCCGGTGCTGGTGGTGGACGCCATCATTGTCGTGTATGAAACTCACATTGCTGAATGAATGACAATTGCAAAGAGGTAGCGAAGTAGACTGGGGATAAGTATGGCCAGATTGCCATCGTTGTTTGGCAAGTGAGTGGCTGGTCTAAAGTGGCGGTTTGGTACTGTCGAACCCCGAGCAATGCGTTTTGCTTTTGAAGGTCTTCCTTCCTTTGCTTTTGTTACATTATTTGATTGCGATGGCGGGTCACTAGGAAAGGAGTGATGAGGAGGAACCGAGAGACCATGTAAGGCGTTGCCAGCAAACGGTAGACAACTCGATGTTTGCTGTGACAAACTAGAATGTGTGTGTGTGTGTGTGTGTGTGTGTGTGTGTGTGTGTGTGTGTGTGTGTGTGTGTGTGTGTGCGCGCGCGATTCCTCTCGGGGATTCCGTGATCTCATCTATGATGGTGACAGGCCTTGAGAAGGGAGGAGCAGCTTCGGTGTGTCGTGCGGTGGGGAGTGAGCGGTGTAGATATTGAATGTCTGATGTTTTGTTCAGTACCGCAAACTAGCGATGGCTATTTTTTTGTGCTGAGGGTCTGTCCCGCTTGGCACGGTATATGATAGTGGTTCGATTGCCAAGGAGCAATGGGGATGTGTGCCGTGGCGACAGACTTGAGGCGGAGTTGGTGTAGAATGATTGTCCGTGTCGAAGACTGGCCTCTTCTCGTGCTTTTTCATCAGGTCTTTCTTGCAGGATCTCCTCCTCCTTGCAGGATCTCCTCCTCCTTGCAGGATTAAAAAAAAGCTTACGGGGTATTAAAATTTCTATCAGTTAATACTTAATACTAGCATAGGGTTGTTTCACCTTGTTTGATATTTTTCAACAGTGGGGAGCTAAGGAAGGAAGGAGCAATGAAGATGTGTGTCATGCTGCCATGTCTGTGGCAATTTCTGAGATGACTGTTGTTGGAAAGTGGTTTGTTGCTCTGATACGGTGTATATCATCATCCTCGTATGTCCTCTTTGCGAGAAGGTAGTCGTGCCAGTGTGCGGCGACGTGTTTCCGTGGATGTGCTTTTGGCTTGCGGAGAAGAACGTAGAAGCAGAAAGTGTGGATGCATTTTATTTCGAATTTCAGGATTTGTAGTATTTGGTGTGTTCAGCATGATGGGGCAGATCCACGAGCGGGTCGTGAAGAGGGAGGAGGGGGGGGGGAAGGGGGCGCGAGGGAGCAAAATGAGGAGATGTGTGCATCGTGACGTTGGGAGAGGGGTGTTAGATGACGGTATGGGTTGTTGAGGTGGAGCGTTGTCTGCTGATCAAGAAGGGTGTTGTGCCGCATCATTTATGTAAAGCGTCGTCCTCTGTGCTAACTAAAGAATTGTACTCTTTAACTTGTCTAGTAATTTGCGTCGGTGGTTGATGTGACTTAACTTTGTCAAAGGAAGTCGTGTGTCCGAACTTGATGACGGAACAAAGGGGGATGCGAAGAGCGATGAGAGTTATAAACTGTGAGGCAGCATGAGCGAATCGGGCGATGGACGTCTCGACTTCGGCAAATGGGAGAAGTGGTATGTGGTAGGGGGGTGGTCAGAGTTGAAGCAGAAGCAGCTGCCGTAAAACTTTTGTGATCGAAATCAATACCAACGGTGTAAGCAGATGATGATCGCACGTCCGTCGGCCGCGGGCAATGGATGAAGCGACAGTTTACGAGAGGAATGCGAACCTGCGTACAGATCGCGGCAGGCATTTGGTAGCAGCGAAAGCAATGACATGTGAGTTCAGACCTGCGCTACAGTCTTCCCCCGAATATAACGCAGGGTCGTTATGGCTGAATTTGGGGTATCTTTCAGTCTAAATACACAGCTATAATGACCGTACGACATACGTTGTATTCGGGGGAAGAAGGTAGCTCCCAGTGACTTTTCTCAGGAGTGGTCTGGGCATTTGCTTAAGTACTTTTGCCTCAGCTTCCACCTTGCTGAGCAGGTTGAGATGTGATCAGGTAAGATTAGTTAAAAAATGGAATCGATTGGTCGTTTTTATCCCGACTTCTCGTCGATTCCAGGGAGCAGGGTGGAAGGCATGGGCGCGGGAGCAAATAGTTTTTTTTGCGGAGCGGACTGTGCAGCAGCGATTCAGTGGTTGATGAGAATGCATATGCTGGCATGCCGTAGTGACGCGCTAGAGTTTTGAAAATCGACTATTGCAATGCAGAAAAGATCCCTCTGGCTGCTTGGACAGCGGAATACGACTGTCAGAAGGTTTTTTTTTTTTTTTTTTTTTTTTTTTTTTCATTTCTTCATGCTGTTGATCTTGTCAGTTCAGGCGGGTGAGATAGGGACCATGGTGGTGCCACTCTCTTTTCTTTTTCTTTTTTTCCACTCCCTCTTTGGTTAGACAGTTTTTTTTTCTTTTTTTTAATTTTAATTTGGACCATCTCTGGACTTGTGCGTGTCCCGAAGGACGGGTAGACAGTTTTTTATTGCTGTGTCGCAAGTTAAAGGTGAGTTATTTTAGTTCTTCCTGCCGCGGGTGAGATTTTGATCATGCGGTGCTCCTACTCTTTGCTTAGATCGTGGATTTTGCCACAGCACGGTCTCCTCTTTGGTTCGGCTCGACCATGGTGTCTTGCAGTGTGAAATACGAAGTGAGTGTTATCTCCTTCGTAGACTACGGTCTTCACCCAAATAGAACGCCTGGTCATTATATAGCCGTATTGCGTGCAAATTTGAGTCTAGATGCAGTGACAAGGACCAAGCGTTCTATTCGGGTTATAAGACGGTAGCACATGCAGAGTAGTTTCATTTGTGCTCAGTCTTGGACTCTCAGATATGGAGGGACTCAGTCTTTGCTCTATCAGATACCAAGCCAGATGCAAAGTAGTCTTGGACTCTCAGATATGGAGGGACTCAGTCTTTGCTCTATCAGATACCAAGCCAGATGCAAAGCATCATTCATTGGTATTGCTGCAGCACGCAGGGGGTCGGTCTTAGGTGTTAGCATTTTATGTCGTGCTAGGATGGGGCCAAGGGTGTCCCCCCATGCCTCTAGCTTTTCAGCGGTAGATCGAATCGACCAATTGTTCCCATGCCTCTAGCTTTCAGCACCCAATTGTTCCCATGCCTCTAGCTTTCAGCACCCGATTGTTCCCATGCCTCTAGCTTTCAACGGTAAACCGAATCGACCAAAGCCAACCGAGTTCCAATTGGGTGACTCGATTTTTCGTTTCACCATTTCTCTCTCTGAGCTCCTGTCTATGGAGATATGGCCTCCCTTGTACTTGGTAGCACCTGCAATTGTTAAAAGGAAGTAATCCAGTGGATATAACTTCCCTCTTTCTACCTTTTTCTACCTTTTTCTACCTTTTTCTACCTTTTTTTTTTTTCATCTGCCTTGAATACACCAGGGCACATCAACTTACAATGCCTTGACAAGTTAAGTTGGCAATTCTATTACAGGCCTGGTATCTGCACATCTGCTGCTAAGATAATCTGAGGGCCTGTGAAAACAGGCTTCTGATATCTGAGGCATTGTCCTTGAATCTGTCTGAGGGGCTGCTAATATAAAATCTGAGGGCCTGCAAAAACAGGCTTCTGTTTTTCCTTCTGTTTCTTCTGTGGAGGTGCTGATTGCAAACAAGTCAGCACTACCCGTTCTTTCGCCGCAATTGTCCGTGGCTTTGGCTTTTTTATCGCTGCCGTTGTCGCCCAAACAAAGCGCACAATGCATGATTATGGACGTATACAAGTTAAACTTTCGAGTCCGATTCAGTCAAACTGTGGGTGCGGTGTGATGGGGGAAAGACGGTACCGGAAGAGGATGTACCCGTATGTATTCCGCTATTTAGCTTTCTGTCTCTCTTGGTTACCTCAAGGGGGGAAATGTACCTGATTTCTCCCGCTTAGTAATACCCTTATCAGGGTCGGTCGGCATCAATGGTTGGTCTTAGAGGTGCAAGAGACACCATGTAGAGGTGGAGGGAGCGGGGTATATGACGGATGTGTGTGTGTGTGTGTGTGTGTGTGTGTGTGTGGAGGAGGACGCTGGCTTGTGAAGGTGATATGATGTCTGTGCCGAGCGCAGGTGGAGCTTGAATGGCTGGTAGCGAGCGGTTCTTGGATGAGGACCGGTGTAAGACGACTATTGTAAGACTGGTGTATTCTAGTGTAAGTCAATGTTGACTTTCTAGTAGGAAAAACACAGTGTAGATATTTCTAGTGTAGATATTTCGGCACCCGACCTTCAACAAGGGCCTGTTGGGTCATGATCCAATGTGTGTGTCCAGACGCAAAACATGTTGGACATAATTGAAACCAGCGGAGTAAGTCATACCAGGCTCACCATGTCAAGTCTTTCTGGCTGTGCCCGAAAAGCATTTATCTCGAATCCCGCGGCCCTCTTATTGGTCTCCATGGGACGTAGGGTATGTAGGAATGGAAAGGTGGGTGGGTGAGTGGGTGGGGGCGGAGGCAAGAGAGAGAGAGAGAGAGAGAGAGAGAGAGAGAGTTGTGGTGGGGAAATAGGGTAAAGAGACATCTACCTCCATAGGTTGGGGGGAGAAAGGCTGAGATGTGTTGTTTGTGTATTTGTTGAGAGAGAGAGAGAGAGAGAGAGAGAGAGAGAGTCTTATCTGAGGTGAGGTTGAACAAGATATGCTAACAACTAGGAAACTCTGTTTGGGTTTTCAGTCTTTGTTCGTATTCGAATGTGTTTTCGACGAAAGACATGAAACAGGAGAATGAACGGTCCTCTCTCTCTTTTTCGCTCGCTTCACCACCGTTCGGGCCAAAGCAAACCTTCATAGCTCTATCAGAAAAGAACACACAGCGAACTTGGAGAATGAGTGTCCATCGCCTTCAGTTGGTGCGAAGTCCCTTGTTGCACTCCATTAGGGCGTGTTCCCATGCTCGGAGTCTTTTTCTTGTGGTCGTCCCTAGGAATGTGCTGAGGCACCAGCTTTCAACCAGATGGAAAGACATTTAAACCACCAGTACTTGGCCCAGCTACCAGCCTCGGAAAATAATAGAGTAGAAACATTTCTAGTTGGATGAATTTGGGCACTTCTGTAAGGGCCGGTACGTTTCCTAAAATTGTGGCTTGTCAAGGGGCACAACTGTAGGAAGAACTGGTGGTTTAAGTGCCTTGCTCCACTACTCTGGATTCCGCTTGCAGATGACTTGGGGTCTCGCCGCACGACACACGAAACGAAAACGAAACGAGTGCATCTGCCCATGAAAGGTGGCAAAAATACACTCTCGGTCTCTATTTATTGCAAACCTATGAACCTGGCCATTCTCTTCAGGAAGATGCACTCGTTTCGTTTTTCGTTTCGTGTCCCGTGCGGCGACGCCCTTGGATATTGGTCCGCCTACGTTCAAAATGTTTGGTAATTCCTGAATTATCTGGATCGCTAACAGCCCAGATGCATTTCAAATGCTGTTTAGTGGAGCGAGGCCCAAAGTCTTGGTGAAAGCCTATGAGCTGATCCTGACAGTTTAGGAGTCGATCCAAGCGATTACGATGCGAGCAAGTGCAGACAATTTCCGTGGTTATGGATTGCGCTTTTTCAACTGAAAAAAGAAAAGGCGGCCGGAGCCCTGCAGCGGTGTGCGGACTAGATTGGCACAGACCGTGTACGACATGCCAAGGGACCAGATTGGCAGACGCAGTGCCCGTGGAGGTGGAGGCCGATGTAGAGAGCACACAACCCAGGACTGCGAGTCGCAACAATATTATGAAGATAGATAGTGTCTCGTAAACGCTTCTTAGCTGAAAGTCCACGGCGGACATGAGAGAGGACAATCGGTAGATTTTCCTCGTGTGCGAGGCCTGGAAAGCACTGAAGTTTTTAACGGTGTAGCGAGTGTAGCTGTGTGGCTTGTTTTTTCTTTTTTCTCTATAGATTGTTGTTGCGCGAAGCGAGTCGATTGGTGAGTCCAGTGGTGTTCATGGCGCGTTGTCATTGTCGGTTGGCAGATGAACGGCAAGAGCAGTAAGTCTGTGTCAGGACGCAGGAAACAAGATAAGGGGCCTTGCCCCATTGGACAAATCATTCGACATGTAGATGGATAAGTAAGAGGACCAGGTGCAGGTGCTTTGATTTTGGAACTGCTCATTCTGGGTGGAATAGGGGCTGTTGTGGTGTGAAATTGTAAATTCAAAACAGACAAACAGATATATATACAGGCAGACAGTCGAAACACAGTGCTTGTGTTGGTGTGCTTTTGGCTCACTCCAGAATGAAGAGAAGATGATGGGAAAGAACCTATCAAGGTGAAAGTCCTCTTGCGTGCTCTCTCGCTATGTGCAAAGGAGAGAGTCATAGAGAGCATCTCCTTGACAATCACAGCCCCTCCTCCCCACACTCGACAAAAAACAAAAGAGAAGTTCTCTTATCTTGCTTTTGTGAATCAAGAAAATACACCCTGATGAGTCGGTGAATGGCACAGTCATGCTCTTTTTTTGTGGTGGTTGTGTGTAGCGAACATGACAGACAGACAGACAGACAGACAGACAGGCAGACAGAACAGATGGACGAACAGACAGGCTGTCAGGGAAGAGGGGGGTGGGGAGAGAGAGAGAGAGAGAGAGAGAGAGAGAGAGAGAGAGAGAGAGAGAGAGACGGACGGATGGACGGACACACACAGGCTGTCCGGGGGG